AGGAAAAATTCTGATTTTCACAAGTGATTCACTTGGGACGTGTCCCTTGCAAGTGATTTCACAAGTGAAAACTCAAGGAAAAATTCTGATTTTTCCAAGTGATTCACTTGGGACGAGTCACCGGCACGTGACAGGCCATACGAAAAATGAGTATAAGGAAGAAGTGAAATCCCGTAGGACTTCCAAAAATTTTCATTTGAATTTTCACTTGTGAAAATGCGGACATCCCATACAATTTTCTATATGGAGCGTCACTTGTTCTTCACTTGTGCACGAGGACATGTCCCAGGTGATTCCCAAGGTGATTCACAAGTGAAACTTTTTTTTTGGAACTGAAGGGTATACACTGGGTCTTCATGCTTTGTTTGTATCGAATGTTTAATAGTACTTGTAAAAGTCAAATTTTCACCTTCTTTGTACTGAATGTCAATATATTCGAATAAAACCTTCTTTAAAGTTTCATTTTCTTCCTCATTCAAATGTTCTAACCAGGATTCCCCTTCAGTTCTGCAGTAGGGACGCGGTGACGTGGCTCAAGGCAAAAAGCTTTTTTTGTGCCTAAAACGCTGTGCCGCTGTTGACGTCAGCAGAGCAGTCGGCGCAGAGTAGAAGACTGCCCACGAAAACGATCGTGCAACAAAGAGAGGCAGATATTCGGATATTTCCCTCTCTTTCTTGTCTTATAATCTGCCTGCACTCCGCGCTCGCAGAGACAAATTTCGGCTGGTCCGTTATTTTTTTTTTTCGTCTCTCCGTTATGTTCGGCTAGCGACTAATATTTCGGCAGAAAAATTTTCGTGAAGCAGCGACATGTGAATGCCCTAATATTTTAGGAGCATTATTGTGTATCGAAAAAAACAACTAATATTGTTTTATAAAAGTAAACTATTTGATTATAGTAAAATTTAGTAAATTGAATTTACTTATAATGTTATATTTACTTATTATACATTCTTATTACAATATTATTTTATAGTTAAGTTATAGAAATTTAGTCCGTTAAAATTGATTTAAGTATTTAAAACATTTAAGTATTAACATTAAAAAAAAATCGTATTGTATTTTTTACTCAAGAAGTAAAAACTATATAGTCGGATATATTTTACTTTAGAAAGGGTATAGGTGCAGTGGCACGCGCCAACAGCGAAGAGAAAACAAAAGAAATCTAGTAAAGGGGTGAGAAGACTTGGTGCATTCTGTTTGAGTGATTGAAAGGGAAGCATCCATTTTAATGGTGCTCAGCAGAGTTACTTTAATCGTTTAGTTAATATAATAAAGTCAGGTAAGTGCTACATTAAGTTTAAGATGTTGTGCATTGATCTTAGTTTAAAGTACGTAAATTTTGAAGGTATTCAATGGGTTCCGTTAGCCGAAAGTGGATGACGAAATGTTTTGTGCCAATAAAAATTCTGCAACAAGCTATAAAAGGTAAATATACAATTAAACAAATAAAACGCATTTTTTAAACATATGTTTTTTCAGGAGCGTTGGCCAAGGGTTCAGAGGACCCGGACAAAGGTTTAAGAACGGCGATGTCTAACGTTAAAAATAAGCTTACGAAGCAAAAAAACAGAAACAATAATTGTACAATTTTTGAAAATCTAAATAGTACCATATAATTAAAATGAATTAAAATGAAATGAATTAAATTCTATATTTTTATACCCGTTACTCGTAGAGTAAAAGGGTATACTAGATTCGTCGGAAAGTATGTAACAGGCAGAAGGAAGCGTTTCCGACCCCATAAAGTATATATATTCTTGATCAGGATCACTAGGCGAGTCGATCTAGCCATGTCCGTCTGTCCGTCTGTCCGTCTGTCCGTCTGTCCGTCTGACCGTCTGTCCGTCTGTCCGTCTGTCTGTCCGTCCGGATGAACGCTGAGATCTCGGAAACTATGAGAGCTAGGCTATTGAGATTTGGCGTACAGATTCCTGAGCTTCTTACGCAGCGCAAGTTTGTTTCAGTAGACTGCCACGCCCACTCTAACGCCCACAAACCGCCCAAAACTGTAACTCCTACAGTTTTGATGCTAGATAGAAAATTTTAACTGAAATGTATTGTTCTCATCAATACCTATCGATTGACCTAAAAAAAAGTTTGCCACGCCCACTTAAACGCCCACAAACCGCGAAAACCTGTGACGCCCACAATTTGCATGCTAGATAAAAAATTTTAACTGAAATGTATTGGTGTCGTCAATACCTATCGATTGATCCAAAAATAATTTTTCCACGCCCACTCTAACGCCCATAACGCTTAAATCTGTCTACCGCCGGTAGGTGGCGCATTTTAATTTCGCTTTGCTGCTTGCATATCTCCATTTCCCTTTGAGTAACGGGTATCTGATAGTCGAGGTACTCGACTATAGCGTTCTTCCTTGTTTTAATTGAAAACTCAAGGAAAAATTCTGATTTTCACAAGTGATTCACTTGGGACGTGTCCCTTGCAAGTGATTTCACAAGTGAAAACTCAAGGAAAAATTCTGATTTTCTTAAGTGTTTCACTTGGGACGTGTCCCTTGCAAGTGATTTCACAAGTGAAAACTCAAGGAAAAATTCGGATTTTCCCAAGTGATTCACTTGGGACGAGTCACCGGCACGTAACAGGCCATACGAAAAATGAGTATAAGGAACAAGTGAAATCCCGTAGGACTTCGAAAAATTTTCATTTGAATTTTCACTTGTGAAAATGCGGACATCCCATACAATTTTCTATATGGAGCGTCACTTGTTCTTCACTTGTGCACGAGGACATGTCCCAGGTGATTCCCAAGGTGATTCACAAATGAAACTTTTTTTTTGGAACTGAAGGGTCGTTACATTCTTTTAATTCATTATTAATGGCAAAATGAAATGATTGATCCTTTGATAATGGCGGAATACGGCATTCTAATGCGGTCCTCTTCAATCTATTTCTCAAATGATGGTGGACTAAGGCATTTTACTGCGGACTTGTCCTTTCCTATATCATTTTCACCGTACTTTATGTAAATTAATGTGTCTCCTAACATCACTATTTCTTCTTCGTAATTTATTTTTTCTTTACTTTCTTTCAAATAATATCGGCCTATTAAAATATCATAATTGTTAGAAAATGTATGTAAATAAAAGGGATCTAATTTTTTACTTTTATTTAATTCCATTGGTCCATTTATTGTATAGACTTTCAACTTCTCTTCCTGTTAAATCATTAAATTGATAGATGACCCTGTATCTTTCATGGCTCATGGCTTCATGGGCATCGCTTTCTACATCCGAGGCAGTTTGCTGAAAATTTACGTCCATCCAATTCTGTGCACTATCATTCTCCCTTTGTCTTTTAACAGGTGCGTTTGGGGCATTTACTTGAAGTTGATGCCTGGAAATTTAAAGGGTTTTGGGCCAACCTTGCTCTAGATTTCTCCTAAACTCATGTTAATTACCTTGGTTTCTAAGGAGAATTTGATTTCTGTTTGGTGCACCTTGAGGATTTGTTGAATTATTGGAATTGTTATTATCTTTTGAGTTGTTATTGTTGTTATATCTTGGATAACCGTGCGAATAAGTTATATATTTTTGATACAAATAATTTTGATGTGTATTTACCGAATTCCTTCGATTATCTTGACATCTGGGTTTATAATTATCGAAAGGGTCTGCATTCCAATAACCTAAAACCATTACTGCTTCTATTAAATTGGCAAGTGGTGTGATATCTTTTTTAAATAAGGAGTTATTCAATCTATCAGGAAGTTTTCTTTCGATACAATCCCTAATTGTCTTGTTTAAAAAATTTTTATAAATTGACCTGTCTATTGGGTCTGGTTCTATTTCTAACTTATGTATTTCGAAGATCTAAATTTTAGTTCATTAGCAAACTTACTTATGCTTCCTTGGTATAGGGTGTCCCGAATATCTTGTATGATGTCTTCGTATGGCCTGTGGTCTTTGAAGGCTTTGATTAGGGTCGTTTTTGTGGTTATCCATGCATTAGACTTCTCTTCTTCGATGACAGTTTGGCCTGAGTCGACGATGGTCCTCTCTATGGCTTCATATATGATGTGGGTTTGTCGAACGTCTTGGGTAACGTATAATTGTAGTAGGTACTCTAGCCAGGCAATGTACCGACTTAATTCCGATGGGCTTCCATCGAAATATGGTAACTCCTTGATTTGCCCGATTAACTGATTGATCGGACAACTGTGGTAATGTGTAAATTTTTACCGCGTATTGACAGATTTTGATTTTTAATTTAGTCTCTGCTTGTGGAGATTACACATATGTATACTTTCGTTTTATCTTTCAATATTGGCACTTTTATTTTAAGCTTTTAAGCGCGTATTGGCCGAATTGGTTTTTTATTGTAAGTTCTGCGTGCGAAAATTACACATAGATTCTTAAGCGGATCTCGATATTTGCCTTTGTTGTTCACGGATTTTTCGCTGATCGGGATAAACTTGTTGTTTAGTATTATCCTCTTTATATGATCAGTACCGATGACTTTTTAAAGGACTTTGAGATCCTACCGACTGCGCCAATTAAATGTTTGCACCATAAGTTTAACATAAAAAAACTTAATTTTATTTTAATTTTAAACTGGTAACAATATTTTTTAGGTTGGAAGAACACCGAATTGCTATTGACAAATCTCAAACTGAACTCGATCTCTAACTCCTATTATTGAGTTACTCTCTGAATTTGGTCCAGACCCAGACTTGGGTCCCGAAATCTGAGCATCCTGAACTGTGGGAGCGTGCAGATAGTCGTTCTAATTCTTTAGTCTATAAACTGTGCTTTTTTGTTTCATGTTAATTTTCCTCTGGCTTTCTTATAGTTTGTTAATTTTCCATTGGCTTGCTTACAATAAAATGTTGTTTCTTATTTCTTAAAGGGTGTCTCGAGGGTGACTGCATAATGTGAGTAAGTATGTGTGGGTGTGTGGGCATATACAAGGGGTATGTGGTGCTATGGATATGTAATATATATAGATTTATTTATATATATATAAATTGCAGCACAGGCGGCAGTGGAGCAGGCGGATCAGGCTGATCAGGCTGTGAACAAAACTATACCTCAGTGTAGTTTTCTTCCTGCTGCTGCTGTCGCCCATTGGTGACGTTCCGGTTATGTTGCTTGCGCGGATCGAAGGCGTCCACACCGATCTGTTTGGTGCCCTTAATCTCGGCCCGACAGAAGGGACAGCCTTGTCCCTCGAAGTCCACTTGCCAGGAGGTGAGCCCCACAGGGCTCAATCCGGATGTCTTTGTCGTTCTCCGCACAGACCTTGCACAGCTGGAAGGTGCTCTCAATTTCACAGTATAGTTCGTATTGCTCTTGGGTTACGGTTATGTGGTCGTCGGTGGGCTTGGTCACCTGGATACAAGTACAAGCCCTCACGATGGCCATCGAGCAACGTCTGGCACAGCGACTTGTTCTGCGGGAATCTCTCCCTCGGCTATCACATAGCCAATGGCCCACTGGCCCACCGCGTGCAGGAAAGCCGGAAGACATAGCTGCTTGCCTTGAGGATGTAGCGCTGGAGGCGAGCCTTCACCTCGTCGTAGGTGAGGAAGGCCACGTAGCTCGAATGTGTGACGGCCAGGACTTGCCAGTTGCGAAGCAGCGTTACCCAGGGCTGAAAGAGGCGTGTGAATACGTCGAGCTCGATGATTGATGGTGGTCTTCAGGGCCATGGCCTCCAACCGGTATTGTACTTTGTTCAGCTCCTGTCGGGATGTCTTCCAGGGAACCAATGTGGTGTTACCAAAGTTACTCTTTCAAAAGTCAGCCGCATCCGCCTTGGTGATCCGAAACTGATCCCCGGCAAAGACCAAGTTGGGGAAGATGGCCTCAGTTCGCTGAGCATGTGGGAGAAACCAGGCTGAGCTTGGTGAGATTCCGGCGGTAGTGGAAGTTTTCGACGAATATCCCGGGGCCCTTTGTGTAAGGACCCCGGCTGCCTTTTATTTAGTTTTAGGCGCAAGCACGGGATTAATCTTCAAATGGCCAGACAAGGTGGGATTTGAGTAGGCAAGTAGAAGTTGGCAAAGAGTCTTGGTTGGGTCTGTGGTATTTGTGTGGTATTTTTCGGTATGCTACTGTGAGCAAAAAGTAAGGTAAATTTGTTTCTAAAATAAAAAAACAATTGTGCCAAAGTTTTTCGAAGCCTCGAAACATGCCAAATAGTGTCTTCTCGGTATAGCCATCACGCCTTCTTCGAAACAGTTTTTATCCCCTCAATCGACTCGAAACGCGTTACCCGGAGTGGACTCGTGAGTTTTGGGAAGAGCCAGAAGTCATACATGGCCAAATTAGGCAAATACGGTGTGTTCGTATTCAAGGGTGCTCAACATAACCAACACCTAACAAATCAAGCATCAAGTGGGAGCAATAAAAGGCGCTCAGTAGCGCACAATGCATATGAGCGCTTCGGCCGAAAAATCGATAAATGCAGTCTGTGTCGTTTGGTAAACACAAGCGTAAATATATTAAATATATAAATATAATTACCTTCACATGAAATTTGGCCCAGATGTCATTAACAGTCTTGCCAATTCAAGAAAAAACAAGCAAGAACGCTATAGTCGAGTACCTCGACTATCAGATACCCGTTACTCAGCTAATGATACCAAAGGGAAATGGAGATATGCAAGCAGCAAAGCGAGATTAAAATGCGCCACCTACCAGCGGTAGACAGATTTAAGCGTTATGGGCGTTAGAGTGAACGTGGCAATTTTAGTCAATCGATAGGTATTGATGAGAACAATACATTTCAGTTACAATTTTTATTCTAGCATCAAAACTGTAGAAGCCTCAGTTTTGGGCGGTTTGTGGGCGTTAGAGTGGGCGTGGCACTCTGCTGAAACAAACTTGCGCTGCGCAGGAATCTCAGGAATCTGAGAATCTGAGAATCAAGTAGTTTTAAAGCTGTCGTTTTCTTGCACTGTCACACCGGCCAGCCTTACATGCAATTTCTGAATAACTAATTACAGCTTTAATACTAATACCATTTTAAACCAATTTATGAATTACTTACGGCGAAATTAAACTTACAAATTTCGAGAAAATCAAGTGGTTTCAAAGCTGTAATTTTCTTGCACGGTTACACCGGCCAGCCTTTCTTCCAAAGACATTTACCCAAGTTGTGGTCCTACAGGGTGCGCCCCCATAATTTCGAATTTCCCCCAAACATACCTAGATTGTTATATCTGCTTTTTATATAACTTTGCAATTTAGATTTAGACCGATGGATCAGTAATCAGTGATAAAGTTTGTTCTGTGCTACAATATGAAGTTAAAAAAGTAAATCATTTGACCTGAAGAACTCCACTATGATATTCAGTGTAAGGTTCTGACAGTTACTTTATAAACAAATGTTATTTAGTTAAAATTGCGTTTATAAAAACAATATCTATTAACACTGCAACTGTTGCACTGCACACAGCAATCGTGGACTTGTAAAAATCAAAAAGGACTGTAAAGTTGTACAGAATTTAACTTACTTCATGGTTGACTCGCCAGCAATGTATCGTAGTAGCGATCTATTTTTTCGCTCCTTTTTTAATGATCATGAATGCAAGAATTTTGGCATTATTATGTTTAAGGGTAGCATTTTTGACCATGTATGGGAATTTGTATTGATAAAGCAAACAAACCAAAAACTACTTTGTTCAGCTACGTTTTTATTCCCGTTACTCGTAGAGTAAAAGGGTATACTAGATTCGTCGGAAAGTATGTAACAGGTAGAAGGAAGCGTTTCCGACCCCATAAAGTATATATGTTCTTGATCAGGATCACTAGCCGAGATCTCGGAAACTGTAAGAGCTAGGCTATTGAGATTTGGCGTGCAGATTCCTGAGCTTCTTACGCAGCGCAAGTTTTGTTTCAGCAATGTGTCACGCCCACTCTAACGCCCACAAACCGCCCAAAACTGTAACTCCAACAGTTTTGATGCTAGATAAAAAATTTTAACTGAAATGTATTAGTCTTGTCAATACCTATCGATTGACCCAAAAAAATTTTGCTACGCCCACTCTAACGCCCACAAACCTCCTAAGAAAAAAAGCTATGACGTCAGAGCCAGACAATGCGAAATGTTTTTACGCGTGTATGTGTGTGTATGTAAAGAGTTGCCGGCCGAACTTAGCGGCAAAGAATAAAGCACTGCCGGCGCTCAGAGAGAGCAAAGTGCGCGGCTAACTTATTCTATTGCTTCTTACGCAGCGCAAGTTTGTTTCAGCAATGTGCCACGCCCACAAGCCGCCCAAGCCTGTGGCGCCCACAATTTTCATGCTAGATAAAAAATTTTAACTGAAATGTATTGGTGTCGTCAATACCTATCGATTGATCCAAATAGAGCCACGCCCACTCTAACGTCCATAACGCTTAAATCTGTCTACCGCCGGTAGGTGGCGCATTTCAATCTCGCTTTCTGCTTGCATATCTCCATTTCTCTTTGGTCCCATTATCTGAGTAACGGGTATCGAGGTACTCGACTATAGCGTTCTTCCTTGTTTATTAATAAAGCAAACAAAACTAATAACATTACCTTGAAATTCATTTGCTATGTAAGCAAACAAACATAAAATTGTGGCTGAGTGCAGTCCCGTTATAAAGTACCTCCTGTTTTTCACCAAGATTAAACTAAAATAGTGCCCTGTTGGGGCGGGGTAGGTAAAACCCAAGAACCAAGGGTACGAAAAACACGGGTGTACTTTGGGGTTTTTTCGCGACGTTCGTGAGTGCTTATTGTGACACTTGGAAAATATTGTTCGGAGCGGGTATCTTGAAAAGATCATGTACTCTGGAAACTTGCGCTGAATAGGGCGAAATTGATTGTGGAAACAGTTGTGAGCGCTTGATTTATCCCTGAGCTGATGGTTTCTTGCAAAGAAATTGGAGCACAACTGCTTTTCTTGGTCATAGGCTGAACGATCATTTACCGTCATTTGGAGGAAGCGTGAACATAAACGAACGGGGTGGATCTTCCTTCTACGTACCAATTCTAACCAGAGCGCTGAAGGAATGAGCCGGCGGTGCCAGGCGAAAAATGAGATCCATCCAGTGTGGAAGGGGATGGGTCGATCAATCTTCAATCCTTTTCCATGATACTCTCTCCCCACTGCGATCACAAAAAAAATGTTTTCCGCGGGGATTTTTTTCCTTTTTTTTCGACAACTGGTGAAAGAAATGATAGATAGTGTTGGGAAAACAAACTTGGTGCGAAAGATACAGCTGGTATCAACAGGACGCTTACGCTAATTTTAGGCCAACCCCTGTGAGAACAAACAAACGTCGTTGCGCACACCTTCTGAAAGGTATAACGGTCGGGACCTACTTGTTGGATTCTCTTAGTCTGAAAGAGGAAGAGAGGCAGAATGTCAAGGATATGACCACTTTCAACACCTCCGCCGAAGGCTGCGTCGTTAAAATCGGGACTCTCGGAACCAAAAAGGGCCGGTGTAACTCCCACCGTCAGAAAACCAAGGCGAAATCTTTAGCCACCGGGGGAATCTCCTACCGACGAACTTTAAAAAACCCGAGCCATTAATGCTGAAAAGACACACAGATCACCACCCCTTGCAACTGCAAGAGACTGCAGAAACTTTCTAAAAACATGGGGATAGCAGCGGCTACGAGAAAAAGGAGTATAACTAGCAAACAACGCCAGAGACAGAAATACCCCCAGTAAACTTGCTTGGTGGCTTGGAGGGAATGAGAGCGACCCCAAAAAGGCCTCGAAAACAAAGGACCGGCCTAGGTGAGTCCCCGCCGAATAAGTGGCGATAAAATGAATGGTAAGCTGACAGGCATGAACTGGCAGTCGAGCCCAACAAGAAGGCTAAATGAAATCCTGCTTGGAAGGGGAAAAACAGGGCCAGCAAAAGACTACGTATGACGCCATATTGGTGGCTAGTGTGGATGGTAAATCCTGCGCGGAGCCCCTTAAGGCGGTAAAAGAATACTTAACGTTGAGCCACGTCACCGAAGATGTTAAAACAATCAACAAGACGGTTAACGAAAAAAAGAACCTGGCCACAGTGCAAAGGAGGTAAAAGGTCAGTCGGCGAGGGCCTTGACGGAACAAACCAGACTCAAAATCTTGAAACTCTACGGCAAAAACAAAGGAAGAGATTTTGCAGCTATACATTTTGCCGAAGTGGTTTCAAAATGTGCCGTTCATAATCTTAAGGAAATTAAATCTAATTAATCAAGTCCCCCAATTTTTTCGTATTCCACTTTGTCTCTTGTGACGTCATGGCCTCGCAGCAAGAGGACCCCAGTTCCAGTCCTACTGGAGCAAGTGAAACGAAAGTCTTTTTTTGTTGTAATATTCATTTACTAATAATACTAGAATACTAGAGATATGCAAGCGGCAAAGTGAGATTGAAATGCGCCACGTGTACATTTTACACGTCTTTGGAGTGAATGATTCCAAAGGGCCTATGAATGTTTTCATAAAGGATTCTAGTCTCAGATGTCTCTGAAAAACCTGCAGATCAACCTACACCACTCTAAAGCAGCCACGTCTGCAATCATTCCTTTTTCAGGAACCCTCTGGATATCTGGGTGTATCTGGACTGGGCGCCACAACCTACCACCTGTGCACTGCTGACTGTGCACCTTTAAGAATCTGCTCAGCTAATATGGTTGATGACCACCAAACAGCGTCGCCAAAAGGGTGCTGGGTCATGTCACCAATGAAAGCGAGATGGATCTACACCGCGGTCATACGCCCGATACTGCTTTATGCTGAATCGATCTAGTAAAACGCAACGTCACACAGGGAATTCTTAATCCAGATAAGACGAGTGGTGCCACGGTATGGTTGAAGCCTGTCAGAGGAAACAGATTAATGAACCCCTGTCGATTACCTCACAACCTCCTTCCGCACTCTTACTCCCTCTCAAAAGGAGTGGAGTGCAGGACCACCAGGAACCCACCTATCTACTCAAATCTATACCGATAGATCGATGATAGCATACAGAGACTTTTTAATATCGCGAGCGTTGTGGCCACAACGGATGCCAAAGCGCTCCAGAGAACTCATCACCCTCCATATAATAAAATGCGGCAAAGCCATTAGAGTCCTTACGGGTCACAGGACTGCCGGTGCTCACGTTGCACTACTATTGATACCCCATAACGATTTCTGTAAAACATCTACTGCCACTGACCAGCTCTATGTGGTTGTAGATTGTAATACTTTGGCTCATTTTTCTTAACAGACATCTCAGATCTTTTTACAGTGTCCCCAAAACGAATTGTCAGCTTAATTCAAAGGTTAGGCCGGCAATCCGTCATATCATCCATCTAGGATCCTCTTGCGACACAGCTGATCGAAACAACTATCCGAAACAGCTTACCAACACCTTACATTCAAACATAAAAAAAACCCATATTCTGTGACATAACGTGCAACTTTGAATTAAAATAACAGCTTCGCGGCAGATCGGGGCACTCCTTGTAGGGGACTTAAGTACATGCGTATAGAATAAAAATAAATCGTTACGTTATAAAAAACGTAAAGTTTCACAAGTTTTAATAAATTTTTTTTCCTGTGAATATAAAAACAATATTTAAAAAAAAGTTTCAAAATGGTTAAGAATTCGAATTTATTATTCGTATTTTCAAAATGTTTTTTGATTATTTTTATTGTAAAAATTATTATTAAAGTTTTAACATTGGCTTCACATTGTGAGGTTTTTATAAGATAGACCATAATTCTATCCCTCCCTAATGCGGACATTACTTTTGCTACATATGCACCATATTGTGCATCTCCAAAATCTGTATTTAGAATGTATCTTCTCTTTTGGGGTCGTTCACCCCAGTGTACGGTTTGCCAAAAATGGTTTCAGTCGGATCGTTATAAATATTTAAATTTTCAAAAACTTCAAAATAATAAAACTATGCTTCCTATTTTAAATTTACTTAATTAATTTTACAATTCTTTTATTTTTTCCAATATTAAATAGTTTTGCCTACTAGTACTTTCGGTAATGCTAACGATTAACCTTTGGGGTGGCCCTGAAAGGGCTCTACAGACTTAGAGCTTTAAGCTTACAGAAACATAAATCTTAAATTAAAAACTCAAATAAGTTGTGTTGTGCATAAATATTATAACAAGGTTCAATGAGCAATAGTTTGATGAATTAACACGTTCTAGGCTTTGATTGTTTCATTTCCTAGATTTTCGTTGCTTTATCTAGCCTTTTAGTTCTTGGAGGGGGGATTGGTGGATTTTCTAATCTAATATCGCCTACATTGCATGGGGTCCTAAGTACATCACATCCAAGAATATTTTTTTTTATAGAATTCCAAGACAACAATTTTTTTTTAAGACTTATAATACATTTGTTACTAGACATTATTTTGTTATTATTCAATATGTACCATATTCCCACGGCAAAAATGAAAAATATCAATACCAGCGAAATAATTATAGTATACTTAAGAGTTTCACTATGATTTATTACTGAATTAGTTTCCGTGGTTGTTGGCCTTCTTTTAGTTTGTGTAGGTGTTGGATATGAGGAACGACTGGGTCCAGTATAAGTACTCCCCTTTTTAGTGATGGCAATATCCGAGCACGAACGAAATTCCTCTTGTGGGCCACACCCAATGGCTCCATTACCATCGCTGCAAATTCCCCAATTATTGCCCGCAACATAACGCCATTGCAGAACACATTGGTCACATGTAAAATCTGTAATACTTTATAGTTACCTTATACATGAAATTGTTTTGTAAGTACGCTTACCAGGTAACCGCGCCTGAATTTCATATATGCGACTTCCATTTCTGGGATAAAAACGAATGTCTAGGTCAGATGGAATTGGCTGAGAGGGACGGCCTTCAAGTATTAGCAATACATTTTGATCTAAGCAAAACTGCTTAGCAATTTGATTTGGGCATATCCGAAACTCAAAATATCTGTAATCATATTTTTGTCATGTTATTGCTAGAAGTGTATTGTTATTTGTTTACCCCATGTGACTAGCAGTTATTTCTACACGAATCTTTATTTTGGATCCAGGCAAATAACTTCGCACTATTAATCCTTGTCCCCATTGACCACCATATTCATGGGGCCGTGGTTCCGGAAGATCCCACGCGTCTCCGCACTCTCCACATTTACCACCGTTTACTTTCCATTGCCGGGTAAACCCACCACAGTAAAGTTCATGGTCATTGTAGTCTGGTGGGGTTTGAAATCCAAATCGCCAAGCGGATGCTCTACTTGGCGGCTCAATCAATCTCCCGTGGCCATTGCAGGACATAAAAGAATACGAAGTAGCAACTAATAAGCCAATGCACCATCCTGTTATAGATCTCATACTTTCTTCCTTGTTTAACTGTGTAAAACGAAAAACTCCAGCCTTATTGAAACATACAGTTAATGTTATTTTAACAAAATTAAAAGTATAAAAAACTTACCAGTACTACCTTTTTTGTTGATACAGTGGCACTTAAAGGAGGGAGTGTGGTTCTAAGTGCTAATCACTAGACATCAGACTTTAGGTTTTTTTTTGTGGTCTAAAAAATATTCAATTTTAGATATTGATAACTAATAGTTATCAAAAAAAAAACTTTTTTCAGAATACACTTAGATCATTTATATTTAATTTTTCATTTATTATAATATATTAAGCCTCCGCAAAAAACACTTTAAGAATAGTAGAAATACTATTTACAGCTAACGAAATATATAACGTAATCAGCAATCAATCCTGCTAAACGCCTCCAGCTAACAAAACAGCTGTATGTATATATGAATATATCTCCATCCCTCTCCGCGCACCCCTTGAATCTGCGGATTATTTATTATTGTTTGGTTATAACTTTTTAATGCATGGTCTGACTTGAATAATTTTTGAAAGGAAGACGTGTATTGATAATAAAAACAGAAAAACATTTACATATTTCAAAATATTAACAAATGTGGTCGCTAGACGGCTTTTAACGTTAAGGGAATACTTTTTTTGGGTGAATCAATAGGTATTCCAGACCCAAATACATTCCAGTTGAATTTTTATTTAGTGTGTAGAAATTTAGTCCGTTAAATTTGATATAAATATTTAAAACGTTTTAATATTACCATTTTTAAAAAATTCGTATGGTATTTTTTACTCAAGAAGTAAAAACAGGAAAGAACGCTATAGTCGAGTACCTCGACTATCAGATACCCGTTACTCAGCTATAGGGTCCAAGGGAAATGGAGATTTGCAAGCAGCAAAGCGAGATTAAAATTCGCCACCTACCCGCGATCTCAATATATGGTTATGTGGGCGGTACACAGATTTAAGCGTTGTGGGCGTTAGAGTGGGCGTGGCAAATTTTTTTTTGATCGATAGGTATTGATGAGAACAGTACATTTCAGTTAAAAGTTTTGTTCTAGCATCAAAACTGTAGGAGCCGCAGTTTTGGGCGGCACCTTGGCACCTTGCTGAAACAAACTTGCGCTGCATAAGAAGCTCAGGAATCTGCATGCCAAATCTCAATAGCCTAGCTCTTATAGTTTCCGAGATCTCAGCGTTCATCCGGACGTACAGACAGACGGACATGGCTAGATCGATTCGGCTAGTGATCCTTTTTTTGTTTCTTGGACGTTGATGCACTATGGTCAGTACAAACAAGTGGCCCTACGACACCAAGCAATGCTTGTTACGTGTGGAGCCCTTCACCGTTTTTGGCGAGTAAACAAAATCGCGGACAAACAAAAAGACAATGTAACAATCAAAATACGAATAGATAAAATACATCAAGTAAAACTAATTAGTTACTAGGTAGGATAGTATTATTGATTTAAAGATAGGAAGTGAGTCGGTAGTAGATATTAGGTGATATAGTCTATTATAATCATTGCAAAGTACTCTAAAAGGTTCATGCATTGCATAATTAGAGATACAGTGATTTAATACTAAGGAAATACAGTTTCTAGTGAATCTATTTGGCACATTAAAATGCAGGCGACCCAGTAACTCGGGACTCTCTACATCACCATGAATAGGATTTCTAATAAACGTTATACCAAGCATAATTCTACGGTTAGCTATCGATGGTAAGTTAATTAGAAGTAGTCTACTAGAGTAGGATGGTAGTATTAGGCTTGTACCCCAGTTAAGTCTCCGTAAGGGAAATATTAAGAAGTTTTTTTGCACAGACTCAATCCAGGGTATATGCACCCCATATTGGGGGCTGCAAACAGGAGCGCAGTACTCAAGAATTGGTCGGACTAATGAAATAAACAAGGTCTTTGTGACATAGGGATCATCGATTTCCTTTGACCACCTTTTGATAAATGCAAGCACGCCCCTGGCTTTATGTACCATAGTAGTAATGTTATCAAAAAATTTAAGTTTAGGATCCATATAGACTCCAAGGTCGTCAGCATGCGTAATCCTATCTAACGCACAACCACTCAAAGTATAAGTTGAGTAGTGGGGGCTGGCACGAAAAAGGTCATTAGTTTACACTTAGAACCATTTAAATTCAATTTATTATCCATGCACAATGTTTGAAATGCACTTAGATCCGATTGTAAAGCTAAAATTTGTGCGATCAAGAATATATATACTTTATGGGGTCGGAAACGCTACCTTCTACCTGTTACATACTTTCCGACGAATCTAGTATACCCTTTTATTCTACAAGTAACGGATATTATTATGTAGTCGGATATTTTTCGCTTTAGAAAGAAAGACTTGGTGCATTCTATTTGAGTAATTAAAAGGGAAGCATCCATTTAAATTGTTGTGCATTGATCTTAGTTTAAAGAACATAAATAAAGGTGTTTTATGGGTTCCGTTAGCCGAAAGTGGATGATGAAATGTTTTGTACGAATAAAAGTTATACACAGGGCTGTACACAGGGTTATACACAGCTCTTAAAGGTACATATACAAATAAACAAATAAAACGCATTTTTGAAACATATGCCCACTCATTTTTAAGGAGCGTTGCCCAAGGATTCGGAGGACCCGGACAAATGTTTAAGGTGGGCGATAACCAATGTAAAAAGCAAATTAACGAAACATAGAACTAGGCTTAACATTAGTTGTCTTTTAACAGAAAACCTTAATATCACTTTTTAATTTAAATGAATTAAAAAGTTAATAAAAATGTATGTCCTTTAAACACAACTGATTTCACATGGGACGTGTCACCGGCGGTTGACAGGCCGTACTACAAATGAGTATAAGGAACAAGTGAAATCCCGAGGGGCTTCGAAAAATTTGTATGAAAAACTTTGAAAACCTTTGTATGCAAGAAGCTTAAATATTTTTATGAAGCGGGCGGAACGAAAACATATTAGAAAGTGTATTTATTTAGTCGGATGTACAATTATTTTTCGTCACAAAATTGTGTATCAGAACTTTTGTATGTCCCATACCTCGTTAAGAGGTGTTTTTGCTCGATACTTTATACGGTCAGAAAAAATTCCTTCCACCTGTTACATATTTTCCAACGATTCTTATATACCCTTTTAATCTTCGATTAAGGGGTGTTAACGGTAAATTCTTTACAACTGTTCAGGCCCTTTTGATTTTTTCGTTTCCTCGATTGCTATCGCAATGCTGCATTTTTTCGTGTAAATATTTAACATTTTCGTCGTCATTATGTATCATGATCGTTCGCAGAACAAACTTGATCACTAATCAGTAATCTGTTATTATGTTGTTCTGCTGATTTCTGCTATTTTGACATAAGAAATGTACATTATAATTGTTATCATGTTCACCGGGTGGGTACTTTTTTTTAAAGTCTCCGATAAAAGGGTCGCAGAAGAAGAGCTTCTGATATTATTAAAACATTTTTTTTTATATTACTAAGCAAAGATTATAAAATATACCAATTTATATAAGCTTAAAATATTCCATAATTTTAAGAAATCATGAAAAAGTGCTTGCTTTTGGGCCAATATTCCACAATTCGAAGCTTGAACTCATACAAAACTTTCATTTGTTCCTTATAATTGAAAACCAACTTTTTACAAAATATGTGCGGAGCTTGTATTTCTTATTTTCGACTGAATACTTAAGTCAACCAATCGTGTTTTGTATGTCTTAAATATTTTGTAGTGGCGTATCTCGAAAGTTTCTGAGAGGACAAAACATCTTTTCTTTTAACTGAAATTATAGTTTGTTACAACGTTTTACATTTACGTTTAATTACCTATTACCAAATGGTGCTATTAAAATACGTATATCACTTATTTATATTTATATACTGATGCTATATTAAAAATATTTATATAATCATGCAATTAGTTAAACCGATCTGAGTTAATTTTTTTAGGGGAATATCAAAACAGTGTCATTGCATTACGTCGCCCACTCATAACGCTTTAAGCTTAAGAAACTGGTTTAAGGAAGCTCAGTTGGACGCCGTCTTTTCCTTATGCGTTATTCCACGGCACTGTTCGGCATATTCATTAGAGCATTCTTTGTAGGCTTATAATGAGATATATATATTTAACATTTACTTGAATTTGTTTGGATAAGAAGTCATGATCACTTTAGCATTTAAACGGAAATCTTAAACTTTATGACTCAAATTACTTTAATGTTCAAATAATGTGTCAAATAAAATAGTGTGTTCTGTACGACTCTAAAAATTTTTTTTTAGACTGTACAAAGCTTGTAAATGTTTTTAATTTTATTATCTACCACAATAATTTTTTCAAAGTCCTTTCAACTATTATACCCGTTACTCGTAGAGTAAAGGTATACTAGATTCGTCGGAAAGTATGTAACAGGCAGAAGGAAGCGTTTCCGACCCCACAAAGTATATATTCTTGATCAGGATCACTAGCCGAGTCGATCTAGCCATGTCCGTCTGTCCGTCTGTCCGTCTGTCCGTCTGTCCGTCTGTCTGTCCGTCCGGATGAACGCTGAGATCTCGGAAACTATGGGAGCTAGGCTATTGAGATTTGGCGTGCAGATTCCTGAGCTTCTTACGCAGCGCAAGTTTGTTTCGGCACAGTGCCACGCCCACTCTAACGCCCACAAACCGCCCAAAACTGTAGCTCCTACAGTTTTGATGCTAGAATAAAAATTTTAACTGAAATGTATTGTTCTCATCAATACCTATCGATTGACCCAAAAAAAAGTTTGCCACGCCCACTTTAACGCCCACAAACCGCGAAAACCTGTGACGCCCACAATTTTCATGCTAGATAAAAAATTTTAACTGAAATGTATTGGTCTCGTCGATACCTATCGATTGATCCAAAAAAAAATTTGCCACGCCCACTCTAACGCCCATAACGCTTAAATCTGTATACCGCCGGTAGGTGGCGCATTTTAATCTCGCTTTGCTGCTTGCATATCTCCATATAGCTGAGTAACGGGTATCTGATAGTCGAGGTACTCGACTATAGCGTTCTTCCTTGTTTTAATTTGTGGTTTTACTTTTCTACAGCCCTGAATTAACCGCAAGAAGCTGATAAAATCAAGAAAAGGTATAACATAAGTTTTTATAGTCGATCCCATTTTTTACTGCAGCTCTAATGAATGAGAAAAATTGTACTTTTTAAGCCTAGTACTCACATTGACGAAAGCCGCAAGCAAACCATAAGAGTGAGCGAGAGGGAAATAGGCAGCTAACGCTTTACGTCGGGTATGTTTTTCACATGTTAACAATTTTGTTAACACTGTAAACTAAAATTTTTCATGTTTTTTACTCAGATAAGCTAAGGAAATAGCAGAAAAAATACTAGATTTCGCGAGTGAATGAGCTTGCGGCGCTGGAGATCGCGCTGGCTTTGTTGGCGAAAAGGAAAAAGGAGAGGAATACCAAAGCAATACCAGAACTGGCAAGCAGTTTTGCCTGAACAGTTGTAAAGAATTTAACGTTAACACCCGTTACTTGAAGATTAAAAGGGTCGATTAAAATCGTTGGAAAATATGGAAGAAAGGTGGAAGAAAGTTTTTCTGACCGTATAAAGTATCAAGCAAAAACACCTCTTAACGAGGTAAGGCCTCGTGACGATCGCACATTCAACATACAAAAGTTCTGTTACACAATTTTGTGACGAAAAATGATTGTACATCCGACTAAATAAATACACTTTTTAATATGTTTCGTTTCTACATGTATGTCCTGCTCCCACTTACGTTAAATCGTATAGTCTGAGAAAAAACTGATCTAATGAATGAGCCGAACAATGCCTTGGAATTAACGCATTATAGTGGAGTCAGGCTTTTTAAAAAACTGAATCGGATAACTACAGCTGCAGATATAGATTTTCAAGCAGATGTTGTTAATAAAATTAAATGTAAAGATGTAGTTAAATTTAATCGTTCTTTAGCAAACTAACAAAGTTATAAATAATTTCTTTTTAACCGAGTCCTGATACACGTATTGATCTTTTTACCGAATAGTATACGTAATAAAAATTGATGCAAATCAAAAATGTGAAAAAATATTTTCGTAAAATACGTTCGGTTTGTAAAAGAACGGTCCACATATATAAGATACAATGGTACCTAAAATAAAGTTTGGCTTGGAATACTGATTGGAAAAATATATACTGGGTATTTCCTAAACTGTTGAATTGCTGAATTATTGAATATTGATCATCTGTTCATCAGCTGTTCCATACAAAGCCAACTGTCAGAAATTTTAGCAATTCAACAGCCTCGGGGCTGTTGAACATTTTGTTTAATTGCTGAAAACCAGAGTTGTCGCTGTTCTAGACTAAAATTTAGAGGGTAACTCTGGTCACTTGTAAACATGGAAAAATTGCAATCGTATAAAATATGCAAGTAAAGGATATCTAATAGGATGCTGCCTGTTAGCAGTTCTAATAGGTTAGGTTTTTGGCTTATTTTCGGCATTTTCCTTAATTTTAAACATAATCTTTGGTAAGCACAGCCTGGCAATTTGACAATCAGACAAACAGCAGACATCTTATAATTGAAAATTTATCAGGGAACTTTTAGGGTCGTCCCCTTAATTGCTGAAATTTTCTGTTGAATTTTCAACAATTCAGCAATTCAACAGTTTAGGGAATACCCTGATAATAATAATAAGCCTTATCAAAACGAATGCCGAAAAAACCGCATCCCTTACTCTTTGCTTTTATTGTACAAAAAATATCGGTGACTTTGATGATATAGATAAAAACAGGCTAACAGGGACAGACTAAGTGAAATTATTTTGAAAGATTTTGGGGAAAAGGAAGGTAGTGCGAAATAATGGAAATAGAATCCACATAGAGCAACATTTCGATAAAATAAGTGATGTCACTGTGGATGGCAGTCCACGTAGTGGCGAACGAGAACCCGGAGAGTATGAGAAGGGGACTATTATATATAACAGCAGAATCTCGAGTGGTATACCAATCGAACTTGAACTTGAGCTTTGTGCTGTTTATTGAAGTACGGATTTTAACTAGTACCTGGTTGCGGACTAGCATGAGGATTGGCCTGTTGGCGCTCTTGCGCCTTCGGAAATAGTTTTTTGTCCCTATCCTCCTGGCTTCTTGCAAAAGATGATGCAAAGGTGTACCTTTCATGGTTGGACTCCACTTCTTGAGCCAATGCAAGTGCTGATGGCATGTCCTTCGGCTTTGCCGAGAAGAGGACGTCGGTGAGACTGCGTTTTAGTCCAGATATAAATACGCGGAGGGCATCATCCAGGAATTTTTCGCATAAAACTTGTGCCGCCTAGGCTTCATATGACATAGTTGCCTTATTAGTGAGGAGGGTAAGCTTCCTTTCCACCTCGTCCTGAGGGTACCCATCTCCTGCTCTATGACGTGCATTGTTTGCTTGTCACTGTATGTGAAATCGAGTCGACTTATAATCGCATCGAAGTTCAACACGGTGCCAAATGAAGATAGTACGGCATCGGCAGGGCCTCTAATCTCACTCCTAATAATAATAACCGCCTGATAATGGCGTAAACTACCCTCGAAGTTCTTAAATATGTAATACGCGGCTATTGCTGATTGCCGCCAGGAGACGTATGTCTCCTGGGTTCCCGCAATTTCGGGCAGGCACTTGACAGCGTCTAGCGGCTCATTACAAAATATGTCCCTGTTTATATCTATAGGTGCATAAACTTTAATCTGAGGGGCTACTGTTTTGGCGGGCGCGATTTGTATCGCCACCACTTGGCTGGCCAGTTCCTGAATAGTCTGACGTAATTGATCTTCCCTACGCTGACCGTCTGCGGCCGCTTCCTGTAGGGCATGGTTAACGGCAGTCGGTACGACCGCCTTTATTTGGTCTGGGTTCAATGCCATATTTATGGTTGCGGATGTGCTAGCGCTTACACTTTTCGGTGTAGAAGCTCTGGTCGGTCCTTCGGTCTCGGACTCAGAGTCGCTGTCGAACTGTTTGTTACTCCTATATTGCTGGAACGGGTCGCTCATATGGAGCTGTGTAAGCTAAATCGCAATAGCGAATTAATGTATGTTCAAGCAATCTTGACCATGGATTTGGCGAGGGGGCTGCGGGGGCTGAGTCGCCGCTTGGTAACGAAGGAACAAAAAATTGCCACAGTCGAGGGACCGTGGTGGCTAAGCTGCCGCTCTGATGGACAAAAAAGCGGAGCTAACAAAATTGGAATACAAACGTCGGGGTGTCGAGTTCGAGTGTTGTAGTGGAGTGGGGAGCGATAAAAAGACAAACCCAAGATTGTTGCGAAGCTAACACAAAGAATTTCGGTGCAAGCAAAAAAAACAACTACATATAAAGGGTGAGTTAAACGCACATAATTTAAATGAGACAGTGACAGTCACCAAAAAAATAATTCAATAAATGCAAAATTAATTTATTTTCCAGCAGCGCCGTTGCGCCTATTCTGGGATATTTAATAAGTCTGGTTGATATATGGGCAATAATTTTTGGCACTAAGATATTTATTTAAAAAATTTAAATAATGCAAACAACATACAACGATAAACATTTACAATGTCACATGGGATAATACCAATTAAATTGTCAAATAATTAACGGGTATGTTAATTAAGAAAAATGTTCACACGCAACTTTAATACGGAGCTGGAGAAAATATTCTGGCAGTGTATGTATTTAAATATTTAATAAATGCAGATGCCGGGAAAATATACGTATGAGGGGCTCACTTTCATGGTTTCCCAATTTTATATCAATGGGTAATTTACGGTAGGCGCCAATTAGGTTTAGTATGGGGGTAGCTGCAGAAGAGTCCCTCGCTGCAGTCCTCAATCAGAAGCCGGTTGGCCGATGGTCAAAATTGATGTGATCTCTAGCTGCCGGTAGTCGGTTGATTAGCTTCTCATCTACTGAAGAGTTATGATGATTACGCTGTAAGGGTAACTGCCCTCCGTTCGCTGCTGGCCTAGAAACTCAGTTAGTGTTTAAGTAATAAGAAGTTATACGGCGGTTGCCGCATTTATTTGAGAATGAAATTGTGTTCTTTATTCTTTGAATGTTGAAAATGAACTGAATCTTAAAGCTAACATAATTGAACTTCATAGTGGCCACTCCAATGGGCAGTTCTTGCCGGCTATTCATGAGCTTCTGGCCAGACGCTGTGTCAGCAGTTTGGCCGGAGCGGACTTTTGACGGCATTAACCGATCGCCCGGCTGAGTTAGTTAACTTATATATCAGCATCACTAGACCAGTCGATCTAGCCATGTCCGTCTGTCCGCCTGTCCGTCTGTTCGTCCGTTTCTACGCAAACTCATCAACGGAACGGTCAGAGAAATATTGAAATAATTATTATACCTTTGCATTTTTATTTATATTATTTTTATACCCTTGCAGAGGGTATTATGATTTCAGTCAGAAGCTTGCAACGCAGTGAAGGAGAGGTCTCCGACCCCATAAAGTATATATAGTCTTGATCAGCATCACTAGACGAGTCGATCCATCTGTATCAGTTTTAAAGCTATCGGTCTAAGTCGGATCTAGGCTGATCGGGCAACTATATCTTATAGCTCCCATAGGAATAATCGCAAAAAAAATTTTTTTTCTTATATCTTTGGTGTTTTTTTTTTTTTTTTTTTTTTTTTTTAACATATTACAACCTACGCTTGGAAATAACATTTTTTAATTAGTTCTGAATTTCGAATTTTATTTTATCCAAATCGGACAACTATATCATATAGCTGCCATAGGAACGATCGAAAAATTCGTAGAAAATAATATGAAAGAAGTCATAGCTTAGGTGTTTCTTGACATAGTACCCTATACTATTGGGAACAGAATTTTTTTGTATTTGTAAGAATTTCGAATTAAATTTAATACAAATCGGACGACTCTAACATATAGCTGTCAAAGAAACGGTCAGAGAAATAATGAAATAATTATTATTATCTTGCATTTATAATAACCTTGCGCGGGTATTATGATTTCAGTCAGAAGCTTGCAACGCAGTGAGCGAGAAGTTTCCGACCCCATAAAGTATATATATTCTTGATCAGCATCACTAGACGAGTCGATCTAGCCATGTCCTTCAGTCCGCCTGTCCGTCCATTTCTACGCAAGCTAGTCTCTCAGTTTTAAAGCTATCGGGCTGAAACTTTCCGAAAAGTCTTCTTTCATTTGCTGGTAGTATAAATATTTATATATCTTACAGCTCCTGTAGAAATAATCGGGAAAAAAACTAAAAAAAAAATTATGTATTGAGTTTTTTAACATATTATATATATATATATCAAATATATCAAATCAAATATATGATCAAAATCGGACGACTATAATCGTATAGCTGCAATAGGAACGATCGCAAAATTGGTGGGAAAATAATAGGAAACAATTTTACATTGCTCACAATTTTTTTTTTGTTATAATTTTGTATGCATCGCATTTCATTAAATTGTAAGAAAATACAAAAAAATTCTTTTCTGGTTATTTTCTCTAGGTAGCCCTGTCGGTTTTTGCACTTTTTGTAGTGCTGCCAGCCTTTGCACCCTTGGTGGTGCTATCGTTTCCTTAGACCAGCTTGTTGACTGTGGAGGGGACGGTTCTGGTTGTTTTACTCCTGTTGCTGTTGGTGATTTCCTCCACGGGCGGTTCGTGTGTGTTCGAGTGACGAGTACAGTGGGCCTTGGCAATCCCTTGGACATTTCTTTTTTAATGCCAGGATTTTCTTTTTCTGAGGAGGTTGAACTTTAACTTTATTATTGGCATTGGATATTGCAGTGTAGGTGGTAGCGTGCGCGGTTCCATTTTCTGATTTGTTCGGTAATAATAGTTGTTTCACGTGGTCAAGCTCAGCGTGGAGCTTCAACGATGTATTTCAACTAATTGTTTCACCATTTAATAATTTAAGCAACTTTTCCTTTCTGTTTTTATGGCGCTGCACCAAACCCCTGTCACGGTCGCCATGTAATAGGCTTGAAGTTTCAATAGTAATAGTCCATTTAATATCTTTGAATTG